CTCACCCCCAAAGACTCCATGAACCTTGAAAGGAGATCCACTCGACTTTGGTCAGTCTTCAGAGACTCCGAGTCTGGTGATTTTCCATAGCCTTAAAATATATATAAAAGAAGGGGGATATAATTTAAATAAACTTAAATAGATAACACTACAACACTACGCTACATATATTAAAGATAATTTACACCTAGTGCAAGAAACTCTCACAGGTTTAAGCTGAAAATTTTTTTTTAAGTATTTAAAGTTATTCTTCGAGTAATTCTTCGAGCATGCGTAGCACCATCTTGTGAGAGTACAGAATGTGACATCACCGGGTTGGTTGGTTATTGCTAATCGACTGACATTAGTTTGTGTCCGCTAACTAGTGAGAGAACTGATAACAAGGTGGAAAACAAGGGGAAAAAAAACTAAAACGTAGTCTAAGGAATCCCTTTTGTGCTGCCCCTGGCTGATAAATGAGTTTTATGTTAATAATAAAATACACAAAAAAAAAATAAAAAAATAAAAGATATACTGTTGTCATTCACTCTCTGTCTCTTAAGCAATAACCGGTTATTCATTGCTGGCTAGCTGGACTGAAATGGGAAAACTGAGACGTTAGCCGTAATGTTCGGTATTGTAGAGTAGTTTATTATTGAGGACTGTGTGCAGGAGAGCCTGTTGGAGTGAGGTGTGCTGGTGGTTCACCGAACCAACAAGCTCAAGTTTTTCTTTACTTTTCCTCATGGTGTCAGGTATACATGTATATATTAAAGTCTGGTTTGTATCAGGGGTTAGGTCTTTTCTTTTTCAAACCACATCTAAAACACTTTACAAGATAACTGGTTACAAAAATAAATAAACCTCCAGGTTAGCCTCCTTCATTTACATTTGTGCTCTTCCTCACTTCTCGTATGAAATAACTCACTCAGTGAGATAATGTTTTCAAACTAAAGAGTTTCCACAGCAGTTTTCCGAGAGAACTTCTAAACGCAAAACTCTGAATCAGCTTTAATACATGTCCATTGTAAACAAAGCAATCATTTAGGAATGTGTGCAGAGTGGGATTTTAAAGTGTTTTCCAGCATTCCCTTTTGTCGTTTTAGGTGTTTCTAGTTAATCTGGTTGCTCAGACCGCTTCTCAGTTCACCTTGATTTGGAGCAGAGTTGGAAACTACATGCAAACATCAAATTTCAAGTAAGGCTTGTCCTGCTTACATCAACCCACATTTAAGCCCTTTTCCGAAAGGATGCTGTACTTAATCACAAAGTGAGTACCAACAATCCATATAACATACGTAATCATACATCAGTGCTCATATATCGGCTAGCATAAGTATGATAAACTAGACTGAAGTGAGCTTCAAGGTCTGCGATCATACAATGCAGGTAAAAATATTTTTAACCACAAGAGTGCGCTATTAACTCATGAAACCGGAGCTTGCTAAACCAACTGCACTATTGAATAACTACAAAAATGTGCATGAGAAAACTGCTGTAGCCTACTTTTTACTTTAAATGTATGCTGTCAGTCGACTCATCTCATAAACTCAATACATTAATAAAACTTACTGACTCAATTCTCATTGTGAATATAATTTTGTTTTCATATAAGTGAGGAACGGCCAATAGTGTGCAAACTTTGTTTTATTGTTTTACTGTATAATTAAACTTAAGTAATTATTTTGTAACTAATATACTGTGTCCGATAGCAAATACTTGTAAAAAGCAAGATGATCATCACTAGTGACACATGAAATTTCCCCTTGTGGGACTAATAAAGGTATATCAAATAAAGGTATATCAAATTCTTAGTGCTTGTGACGTTTGATTCAACTTAAGTTCTACCTGGTAGGTCCATCGCCAAGGCCTGATATCCATTAGTTGCCAGCAGGGCCATGGTACCAAGTTCTTCCCAGGTTTTGGATGTGAAGGCCTGACCATGCAATAAGACAATTTGCAGCCTGCACAAACACATAACTGTGTTAACCGGGATTTTAGAGCAGACACAAACCAATCCTGTGATAATCACCATCGCCATCTGGTTTATTAACTAATTTTGTAAATTGGTTTGATATTAATTAAAACTGGAATGCATGCTATGTCCTCAGATAAGCTCACCTTGGCAGTATCTGCCGTCCAGCTCCATCCACTGGTAAAGCTTCTCGGAAGAACAGCGGGGGGTCTCCAGGCAGCTGTCCGGTGCGAATAGACACATTGATAGTTGGAAGTGGAAGAGGAGGGGTGGCCATCAGCCCCATTTTTTGAGCTTCCAGGGATGGCTCCATGCTGCCCTGGCGAATGGATGGCAGCAGAAGGTAGAGCAGTAACGTGGCCAACAATACCAGGCCCAGAACAACGAGACGATTGCGCAAGAAATTCATTTCCTCAAGATGAAAGATCTAGAGAAAGCGGTAAACAGTAAATTGTTTGAAAGCCCTTCATATTATTCCGGTTCACACAATAGTGCTATTCGTCTGGCACTGTATAAATGGATGAAAGGACTAGTACCCAGACCTGTGGTTTTACCTGCACAGTATGTGGTTACAAATTGCAAACTTCACCTGTATTGTTAAAGTATTTACTGTCACATTGCTGATAAACACAGCTGATTTTCATCTTCACATATAATAAATAGAGCTGACTGGTAACATTTTTAATGTAAAGCTACCAAAAATGTGTTTGTTGCTTGGCAGTTCTTCACTTAATTAGGTGGACATTAACATTTAGAAGTGAATTGGTTTTCCTTAAAAGATTGAAGGTGAGATCCTTTGGAAACAATCATCTAAATGCAAGCTGAGACAGACTGCAAATGAATAATCCTTGCACACCCCGCATGAGACACTGTTCACTCTAAAGGTGCTTAATAAATGTCAATTGGACAAAAATGTTTGGGGACGGGTGGATTTGCAAGGTAACAGAATGAACAAACAAACCTAGATACAGCCAGGATTAGTGGCTCCAATTGTTTGGTGCTGCAGTGCAAAACAGTAAGACGACCAATATAATCGAGCCAAATGAAAATGACAGCTAGCACCAGCTAATTGTATTGCTCCGGTACTAGCTAAACCCGCACAATGGGACGCAGCGGGAGGCGACCTGCATTATGCAGCAACATACCGACACAGAGGAGGTAATTAAACACGTTCAGTGGCGGAGGGGCGAGGCTTTCTTCTCTATCGTCATCGTCCTCGGCGTTGCTGGTTGCCAGTGATGGGAAATGTTGCTGAAAGGCTTCGGTTCGCTGCTCGTTTGGATGGCTAATTTAGCTTTTCAAAGTGAGAGGAGAAATTGTACTTAAACACAGCTGCACATCTCTATTCTTCTAACAAAGTAAAACCAATTACCCGGTCAATGAACGAGTGGTTGCCGATAAACTCAAAGTAGACGAGATATTAACCAACAGACGAGAAAGACAGTAGCGCAAACGCATTATAAAGAATTTTTGTCCGATATAAATTAAATCTACCACGATTTTAAACCGACTTTTTCTCGTCGGAGCACTTTAAGAGCTGCACACAACACTAATCTCAACGGCACTTCCCGTTGAAAGTTTCTTTCCCGAAAGCGAAGAAGTGAATTATTATTTTTTTTTAAAGGTTTTGGATACTTGGTTTACTTTTAGAAAATGAACCTAACAAAGCTTGCAGAAATAAAAATAAAATAAAACAAAATAATAATAAATGTAAAGTGTAACTGAGCGCTCAAAAGAATGTTAAGCTCTAAAGTAAAATACAGTACACGCCATTTATCCCAGACGCTGTATAAAACCTACAACCTATAACAAGATAGACTGGCATATAAGTACAGTATTTTTTCCAATAAAATAAAACACAATATGACAAAACAAATATCTCAAGTAAAATTTTTACAATAATATTTTTTTAATATTAAATAAGTAAAAAAAATAAAATAAATACTGACTATAATATATTAGGATGATGTTATAAGGTAAAACATCTCAAGATAATTAAAGTAAAAATAAAACAGGATAAAAACATAGCAAAAAAATGAAATAGAAAAAAAAATAGCATTATAAAATTGAAAAAAGAAAAAGATGAAGCCATAAACCAAAGTCATTTCTCTGAAATCTAATTCAAATGTCTACCTGGACACCCCCAAACTCAAGACCATACTTTTAGTACTATCTCACATCAAACTTAACTCTTTAAATCTTTATGACATTTTTTTATGTACTTGAACCGCAAGTCAATTGTGATAGGCTGTCCTAAAAAAAAGGTATTTCATGCACAACCAGAACTTGTCATTTCTGTTAAAAAATATTCCATACTAAGAATTCACTTGTGTCTTATATGACTTAAACCACAGTGGTGGAGGGGTGTTGATTTGGGTTTGTTTTGGTGCCACAGGACCTGACTATAATAAACGGCATTAATCCAAACATTGAGTCAACCATGAACCTCAATCTGATTGAAATGCTGTTGTGAGACCTTAAGAGTGCTGCCCGTAAATGAAGGTATGAACTGAAGCAACCATGTAAAGAAAAGTTTCCCAAAATTCCTCAATGATGTGACAAACTGTTAAAGTCACACAGAACACAGAAAATGCTTACTTCAAGTGACTGCTGCTAAAGGTAGCTCTAAAAGCTCTTTTTCATATGACTTTGCGCTCAGAATCTCCCTGACAAAGCAGAACCTCCTTTCTGCTAAGAGTAAGGAAATAACAGACAAAGAAATCATATATAAAGACATTTTAATAATGTAATTCTCTAATGCAAAAGACAAATATGAAATTTTTAAATACAGAACACTTTGATTTTGTTAATTTTCTTTGAAACAATAACCAGTACATTTCAGTTACATTATTTATATCTTAATATTGAACATAATTACTGATCACAGAATCAGAAAATCTGCTTTAAATAGTTAAAAACGTTCTTCTTGTTCTCGTTCTAGTCAAGTTTTACCGTGCAAGATCTTTATTTTTGTGCTTTTTGCATACTATTTGAAATAATATGTTGAGAAACATTTACTGTAAAAGAATATCATGTTTATTATTTTAAAAAAAAAAGACTTAAAATTTTTTGGATACTTATTAAAAAAATAAGATGAAAGCTGATGGAGAGAGATAACAACCATCGAGGCAACCCTTTGCTTTTCAGCAAGATTCACAGTGAAACAGAGTATTTCCAATGTGACACATTACACGCGAAAAGCCACTATAGCACTGTCATGCACTGACAGTATTCACTCAGTTTCGTCCCTCACGACATGTAATGACACCCAGTCCAACTCTGCATGAAAGTAAAGTGCAGAACTTGAAGACCTATGCAATATAAGTACATATAACATCACAATTCAACACCAGCTGTGCAATTCTGAGACTACCGTGTTTGTGAAAAACCACCTGCTGGCTTCTTTCATAACTCATTTTAGCTACTGAAACTAGTACCTACTGTATAAAACATGCAACTGCTCAGCTATATTGGGAACAAACAATTCTGAACTTGTACCTACAGTAATTGCTGTTCACACAGTATCACCGGCAAGATCCTTGACACAACTTTTTTTTTCAGTCGGCTAATATTCAGTTAGACAGTTGCAAACAATTTCAAAGCAATCCTATACATTTGGTTATGAATGGAGCGAACATATAGCCTATTCCAGTACATCAGACACAAGCTGAAATCAGCTATAATCAGTTATATTGAACTTTTAGCTGCTCCCTGCTTTCAGGGGTCGCCACAGCCGTTAGCTCCACATGTTTGACTTGGTAGATTTTTTATACCGGATGCCCTTCCTGATGAAACGCTAAAGCAATCTGTTTTGTCTTCCCAGGATCAAACTGGGGGCTATTTGGCTTGTTGGGCAAATGTGTAAACTACAGTCAGTTATAGTGTCAAGTTGTGTTTAAATTGCCAGTCTGATATATTTCCTAATGTTTTATGACCTGTTTTCACAGTGATATCCATTTAAGTTGATGGATACCTTGTAACATGTATGTATTTGCTCTGCACTGTTCGGTTATAATAAAATTGTTAGCCATGATGGAGTTTATATCAATATAAAGCAAGGACATAAAGACTGCAACTGCAACTGCAAAAGAGAGCTGGTTTCAGCCCTGTTAAGGCACAATATTGAACTGAAAACGAGCAGGTCCATCCTTGATGTTTCTCTAAGCAAAAAAATACAAAAGAGATTTAAGACTGGCTTGTATTTCATTAATAAGACACTTAAGAGCTCGATATTCATACTATATAATACTATTGTAATGTAGTGTCTGTTTTGCCATGAGGCACCAATAACCTGTAAATATGTGTGCGTCTGTTCCCTTTTATCCACTTTTTCTACTTTAAGCCATGTGTTGTTGTTCTGATGTTAAACCAATCATAAAAAAAGCTTTCAAAAATAGATATCTTTGGCTTCTCTTCACTATGGAGACAATGCATCAATATAATTTCCATATTTATGCATAAAAGTCTAAACTGTCCACTTCTAGGCTCGCTGAAACAGTAAATAGTTAGTCTATGTTTCCTCAATGTAGAAGAGTAAGGAGTCCGAGCGGAAGTAAAAGGCAAAGAGGCCAAGTCCCTAATACAGAGGAGGCTCTATTGGGCTCTTTTTCTTTCAAAGTACAGTCATCACCCCTGTACCCACTGTAGCACTGGCACTGGAAGTGCTTGTGGAAAAAAGTCTTCTCAGTTTGGCTGAGCATTCCTGTAACCTTGAGCTGGCCACTCTGACTAGTTATCTTGTGTGTTGAAGGGCTGAGATGCAGATATATATCGCTGTCCAATATTCTGCGAAAACAGCGGCCGCTGAAATTACATAGCACATGACTGCAGTGCTCTGCTGCTGTGGACACATTGAGCAGGTACCGACCCAGCGGTCCCTTAAGATAATCATTTAGGGTTGAGCAGTTGGCCTGGAAGACAAAAAAGAAACGTTAACTTGACTTGCCACTAATCACCAAGCAGTTCAGCATCAAAGAAGCATAGAAAATACTGTTCTTACACTGCTGCTTGCATGAGAGGTGTCGCCCCAGAAGATTACACCTGCAGCTCCAAGTGCAACACTCTCACCGATTGTGGAGACCAAATCTGTCTAAAAACAAAAACAGTTCAGGGCTGTTCAGTGAAATCATACAGTAACCTGTGTTTTAGTAGGACAGTCAAATATACACACATTTTATATCCAGTACTAATGTCTAGTTGCCAGTTGAATGAGATTTCCTAACACCTGTATATGGAAGGTGTAAGTGACTATAAATACTGATTTAATTTTATAATAATTCCACCAAAGAATTTAAATTGAGAACCTGAAGATGATTGTGGTGAAGGACAACAAATTGGTGTGTCTCCGTCAGAAACAGATGGTATAGTTTTATTTTTTAAAAAGTATATTTATGTTCATCAAATTTAGGCTAATGTTGGCTTTGTTTGCTTGTGTGTTGTTGCATAATGTAAATATAATAATAATAATGATGATCTAAATTAAATCACACTTGTATTGATCAAAGTGTAATCGTCTTGTATAAAATGCTGTTCTAGCCAACTAACCTCAGTTAGGAGAGTCGTTTGACTGATATAGGTAGGTCGGGTGTAAACATAAACAGGACGTGCTAATCCATCCCCAACAGATGCCAGGCGCATTGCCTCCTTCACCCTGTTCCGGACAAAAAGGCGCCCTTGGCTCGTTGAGCGTAGCACAGGTTCCATGTATACTGACGGGAAAAGTGCTGTACATTCCATCCACAACCAGTTGAGATGATTATTGCGGTCCACCTCCACTGAAGGACAGTGGCCTGTGTAGTTTTGCAGACCATTCTTGTTGTAGTCATGGTTGTAACAATCTGGAAACAGGTAGAAGCCCCACAGCTGATTGGGCCTCATATTCTTGGCCAGTTTCAAAGTCTCCTGCATGAATCTTTGAGCCGATAGCTCAAATTCTTGTTCTGCAACTTTCTCCACTTGTTTTGAGGTCCATGTAGGGTTCTTTTTGGCTATCATTGCATAGGATTTATTTCGATAGATAAGTTTAGCATCCCAATTTCTGACCCATATAGGACGCCACTCCTCCCAGTCAATAACAGCCAAACCTTTTGCCCCTGGCACTTTTATGTATTTTTTAAGGCCTTCGGGCATCTTTTTTGAGTGCTCAGTGAGGCTGACAAGCTGTGGAAGGCCTCCATTCACCGCACTGCCATCATGCTTATAATAGGGATACAACCCAAGACGTTCCTTATAGAAGATTGTAAGGTTTTGCCCCACAAAGCCCTCATTGGGGGTCGCTACAATGTCAAACTGGCTCAAAGATAAGGTTACTCTATGTCGTGGTTCACACTCCTGTGTTGGGGCATTCCAGGCAAGAAGAACTGGCTTCTGGGTATATAATGGCCTTCTTGTCTGCTTTATATCTGCAGAACAAAAGGCTGTCCACGATGTAAACACAGTCAGAAGCAACCAGGGCAGCTGGCCAGTTGTGGTGAAGAAAGGGTGAAATGCAGCCTCCATGGTTACAGCTCACCCTTCACCCCTCTTTGTCTGTAAAAGACAAAGCAGTTTTGTTAAATTCAGCCAAAACCTAAACGAAATAGTTCAAATCTATTTAGAATCTATTATCTATATATTTAGATATATAGATATGGAAATCGTTCGCAAGCAAAGCAAGCGAGCTTTGCTTGCGAGCTTTGCTCACGAAGGTTTCTGTGAGCTATTACTACATTATTACCTCATTACTCATTTGTATTTTCAAATAATACCAAATAAAGTCATACAAAAAAACTTCCTCTATTCTTCAGGAAGGAAATTAAAACTACTTTTACTTACTTTGAAAATAGTTGTGGGAAGCTAGCTAAATAGGCTACTGGTAAACATGTAATGTTAAAATATATATATACACACATTTATATACTTTATATAAATACATTACCGAACGTTACCTCGCCGTTAGCTCAAAGTTTCATTGAAACGGACTACCGTGCTAAGTTAGCTAACGGCTGTCTTCTTCGTGTCCATTCTAACCTGTTCCGCTGAAGCCGAGAAGTTAAGTTTATTCCATTCATGTAATCGTCGGGTAAGTTATTTTCCACTGCCCTGCCATGTGAGGAATAACCTCACTTTTTTCTATGCATATCGATGACTACTAATTAATCAATTCTCCCAGACCATGGCAGGAGTGGTGAGTTGAGCAACAACAGTTCATTGCATTTACTTCCTGAGTAGGGGGGTGTTCAGTTATTGAAAGACGTATTTTATCCGCGTTTTCCCGTTTATCTTCCCAACAGTGTTCCCATCATTTCACATTACTTTACAGAATAAAATATTTCACCATGATCACAGCTTCATATGGCTTGAATTTGAGGGTAAATGTACATAGCAGTAAAACCTACCCCCCTCCTCGTGAATTAATATCAAGTTAGCCTGTTCTTCGAGTTCTGCCCTGAAGGAAGTTTCACTGATAAAAGCGAATCTTAGATTAAAATCTAGTGTTTTGCTCCTGATTTAGATCTGATTATCACCCTAACCTGAATGGATGAACTGCAGCACTCGGAAGTGAATGGAAAGGTTATTTTGCTTCCTTTTGTTTAAACAAGAGCTTAATAAATGCAAACTAAAAAATATTAACTATACGAAAGTTTTTGCTTAAGAAAATCTAGTATCCATGATATAGTGTATTTAAATCGATATGCACTATAGATGATTGATGCATTTTCATCAACTAGCTTAAATGACCTGCAGATCACACTAAACTTTGGAAATGGTGACCTCTCAGGTTTATAGGCTTAGTTTGTCACCTTTACAGTGAGGTTGATTTGAATTGTTAGGCAGTGTAGAGCGAGAAAAACTCTCATGTCTCATCTCATGTGCCCCTGCATTAAAATAAAATTGATAGCATCAGTTATACATCTCAAGATATTTTTTAAACATTTTTTTAAACACTAAAAAGTGCTATGCCACTGCTGTGAATACCTTCAATTTCTTTTTAAAACTGTCATTTTTTAAAAGAGTAGTAATTATGTGTCTTACCAGCAGTCTTTTCTTTTACTTTATAATCTCCAAATGAAAGTGGATCAATCAAGCTGTCCACTTGTTAAAAATAAATACAGCTCAGTCCTTGTGCTCTGTGCCAAGAGTCTAGAAAGTTCTCCTAAGAGATCTGTCTAACAGAGGATACAAAAACAGTTGTTCATTGCTATTTAAATGTCAAGGAAACCCCACCTCTTAACCACTAAGTTGCACACGCAAGTACAAACCCCTCACTTTATATTCTTACCTGGTCTTAATTTTAAAGCGTGGTAGTTAATATAGGAAGCTACTTTCATCACTAAAACTCAGTGGTGTGACTTTACTTCTCAAACAGGATTTTTGCCTGCTGGGTCTTACATGAATCAAGTGTAAATTTTACATGGGTAGGCCACATTCACACAAACACATTGGGTTTTGCAAAACAATACATAATCCAGTGCGAGGATCCTAATATATGTTGTCAGGATCATGGTAAGTAATATCACAGTAATTTAATACTTACTGTGACACTTGGAGACACACAGGCTGCTCCCTTTCAGCTAATTAAATCAGATTACTGTAAGTGGTGGGTTCCTGCTAGGCTGCATCTGAACATAGTTTTCAGTCTCCTCTGTGAGAAACAGGAGTCTGAGACCTCTTTCTCAAAAAAAATGTATGCAATCTATATGTGTCCTCCTGAGCTGTCAAGAAGACAGCCTGAGCTTTTTGTTTGCAGTGATTTGACCAACATACAACACTGACTTTCTTCAAAGTGACCGGCATTGCAGCTTCCACTTTTTATAGCAACAAAGGAGATTAACTCATGTCTTTGCAGATATTATCTTTGTGTTGCTAAAAATGTTCTTCTATCTTAAATATGAGATTAACATCAACTTAGTACTGAAATAGTACTATAAACAGCAGGAGTCCCGTTTCCTACCTACGCCCATACTTCAGGAAGCAGAATGCTGAGTGAGACAGAAAGGATTGTACTCAAAATTGTAGAAGGGGAGTCAGATGTATAAGTATCAGGGGAGGAGGTGGAGAAGGGCCAGACGCTAGAGCACGAAGGTGAGAGCTCAGAGAAAGACAGCAGCTTTCGAGGAGCCTGAGCAGGAACAAAGTGACAGCACCCACCATCCATTATGAATACAAATAAACATTTAGTCTAGAGCTCTAAGATTTTTTTAGCATTGCAATATGTAGAAGTGAAAATTAGAGCCTTTTTAGTTTAACACACACACACACACGCATAAATTCAGTTTAAAATCAGCTAAAACGTTAACTTCTTAAACTGTTTATTCTGTTGATTTGTTTATTTAATATGTGTCCAGTAAACTCTACCTCTCCTTTATCAGTCAGAAGACTAAAGATAAAACTGTAATTTTTGAAATAATATGTTTGTTTATGTATTAGGGAGGCACCCCATTAGCATCGTTCTAAAGCACAACTAGTCTTAAATACATTTGGTTAATAGGATATTTGCTGTATTTAAAGTTGATGTATTTAAAAGTATAAAATAATGTAAAAGTTGTTTGGTTTTTTTTGTTAAAGCTTTTGAGTTTTACTTTTTTACTTTACACTTTACAGAGTTTCTGGTCCCTGTTTTGATCTTATTATTTTGCTGGTATTGTTTCTCCTTCTCATCACTGGGCTTGTTCCTTCTGTCTTCCACTCTGTCTGTATCATGTTTAAGTCTTCCTGTCTCGTAGCATTTATTACTTCCACCTGTCTTTTTTGTGCCTCGTGTCATGTCGCTCATCAGTCCGCAGAATATAAAAATAGTCCTGTCCTCATTTTTTGCCCTTGTCAGACTGTTTCCCGTTGCATTCGGTGCCTCTTTCCATACATCTTTATAAGAACATTGTTGAAACTGTGTTTTTCTTTTTCACAAAATGTATTATTCCAAAAGAGCATTTTTTAATGTCCACCAGAAACTCCAAGTAACATGTAACACTTTGCCGCTTGTGACCTCTGATTGTTATTGTGTCAGGTTTTCAGCAATAACAAATGAAATGTAAACTAGACTGAGGTGCACGTTTTCCACTTAATCAGAATCCACCCTGTTATTTTCCACAATCTGAGTTATCGACTCTTTCCTTTGAAAAGAGTTTTTATAGAAAAACTCATCAACATGCTTATAACAACAAAGCACGTTTTCATTCTTGACCTTCATAACCCAATTGTGCTATTACTTACACCTTAAGAAAAAGCTGTCAGATATATCTATTAGAAGGTGGAATAATTTAAATACTCCTTTAAAAAGACAAAAGAATATATTGACATTACTGCATGGCTTAAAATGTCATGTGACCTGTCAGCAAAAGCAGAGGATATGTGGTTTGCTGAGTCAATTTCATTAATCCTGAGACTGCAATTCACCTCGTGGCCTTTTATATTTGTTCAGCTGTGAGAAAATAAACAACAAAAAAGTAATAACATGGCATGTCTTCCCCAGACTGAAAACAGTACGTACCCACAGAGGGGGCAGGGGGAAAGCCCAAAGACTGCAGCAGAGACACTTCATAAAAGCAATAAAGTGTAGTGGATTTTGGCACTAAACTCTTTATCCTCTAAGAAGAGCAATATTAGACAGCTTTGTCAAAAAACCCTTTCCCATGGTGACTGCATTGATAGTCTTTACTTCTGTCTTAACTTCATCCATAACTCATTAGCAGATGCTCTTATACACGCTTTACTTCCAAGTGCTGGTTTGCCATCGCAATTTCCTCTACAAGTGCCTAACTTCGTTGTAGGTGGAGGTCAAGAGCGACATTTGAAATACACATCCACCTTCTGCTCACTCCAGTGTTTAAAAACTCTGTAAAAAGATTCAACTGCCTGTTACATAAAGGATTATTTGGCAAATAGTTTCTATGAGCTTTGAGAGTTATATAAAAGTTCATCTTTCTTTAAATAATTGACTCTTTTACTGAAGTCAAATTCAAACAGGATAGCAAAGCCTTGGCAAGTCAAACTACTGAAAACTTAAAAGTACTCCAATCCAATCCTCGAAACTTGAAATATTTTAAAACCTTTAATAACATAATTTAATGTGATTACTTGTATTAAAACTCGTGAAAAATGCAGTGTCCACCAGGGCCAGACTGATGGCTTTATAGTCATGACTCCACATTCCCAGAAGGCACCTGAATCGTTTCCAAGATTAGTTGATGCCATTCCCATGCAGGTCTAAATTCCAAGAGCTAACCACATTACAAATGTCAGGTGTGGTTACCATATATGGCAGGGGCTTTAACCCCCTCCCCTTGCTAGAAGATCTTAATTTCCCACCATGACCTCTGTGTAATTAAACTGTAGTTATCTATCCATCACTGTTAATATAGAAACCCAGACGACTGTCTAGGGCCAAAAAAAGCACAAAAGATTAACACGAGTGTCCATGTTAATCTTCTTTTGTCTTCACTGCTCTTACTGATTTTTACTGGAATATTTCATAATGAACTGTGATTATGTGAAGTTACGGTACATTGAAATGTTCATCTGTAAAGTTTGGATACAGAAAAGGAATGTGATTTAATTCAGCATTTTATTTTGTAATTAAAAAACAGTTATAATAAATTAAAAGTTAAACATTGTATGTCAAACCAGCAAAGAAAACAACAGGATCTGTCATTAGACTCACTGCTGCGATGCACATCTTGTGGCTCTGAGGTCACTGAAGCCAGTCCTTCCAACATTAAATTGTGACATTAAGGGTTTGTGAGCCACTGATTGTCAACTCATTGGGCTGTCCCATAAGTAGATCCTGTTCCATGCATAATGAAGCGAGTCATAATGTCAAAAAATGTAAGTGTGCACTGGCAACTTTTCAACTCTTGCTCAGACCCCTTTGGAGGGAAGAACATTACATTCTCCTTCAGCTCTTTGAGTTTTATGAATCAAACCAGAAGACAATCTACTGCTAAATATTCAGGCCTCAGTCATGTGTCATCCCAAATCTGCACACAGTCACACTTACATGCACACAAACCAAGATCTGTAAACTGATTTTCCCCAGCTTGGCACCATTCTAGATCCCTACTGGTGACCTATTTTGTGTCTTAACTGCACACAAGCCAAAAACAGATCACATGCAGAGGCTCAGCACACAATGCATCAGCCTGTCCACATAAGGGCATCAAATATATCAAGAGATCATGTTATTTTGAAAGGTGGTTCGGGCTTCCATCTGCAGTGGAAGCCGAAGGACGGAGTTGACACAGTGGCTAGTCCGAGACGCTCCTCAGACATTGTCAGGCTTCACAGATGACAACTGGGAAATCTACATGGATGCACGGATGGTCCAGCTTTATAATTCCCTGTGAGGACACGAGAAAATAAAACGATTTGGACATATGCTACAGAGATCTGGTATTAGTGTGTAAAGTCTTGCTTTAAAATCTTAATTTCCTCACCTGAGGTGTGAGGTTTTTCTGAATCTTCTTCAGCTTTGCTTTTTTACGGCCGTTTCTTGTCACAATCGTCTCTTCGTAGAACTCATGGGCCAAGTCACCGTCTTCATCAAAGAACATTGAGCTGGAGCAAAGACACAAAATTACTTGCGCACAGTAATTATTTTTAATACACACAAGCTAGCTTGCTTCTTACGCACGTATTGTGTAAATATTTCTGGTCCACATACTCTAATTTGTGTACCACAAAGAACACTACATCCACATAAGTGTGGTCTTAAGATGTCAAACTTAAGGTGTCTGAATACACCTTAAGCCACTTCCCATTCATGCGTGATGTGCAAAAAGAAGAAGAAAGAAAGAAAGAAAGAAATGTTGGCTAAAATGAAAACAGTGTCTTCCTGTGGGTTAAACGGCTGCTTTTAAAAGGTTAACAGTGTGAGGGGGGAAAAAAAACAAAACAAAATGAAAAGCAAACAACCAGATCAGTGTAAAAGTGGTGCGTAAGAGGGTAGTTAAAACCACTACAGGTCTGTTAAAGTCTGCTTGTGTCCAGTCTAAATACAGTGTGGAGAATCAAAATAGTGGACACATTAGCAGGAAGAACAACGTCAGCTGATCTGGTGTGATTCACTGGTTAAACACCATAAATCTTAGGACTTTTTCTCTCTCGATAGTGTTGGCCAAAGGTGAATGTGTAACTCTGTTTTCACCGAAAACATTTTTACAAAGAACATTTTCAACCATTCTTTACATTTCCCCCCCTCCGAAAGAACACACTGTATCACATTGCTGTTAAATATTTTCAAAATCTTTGCAAAATCATCACACACATACATCGCCCAGTTTAAATAAGGCTGGACAACATGCATGAAACAATCATTTTCGAGCACTGCTTTTGAGTTGGAACCTCAGTCTACTCAAAAACCCACAGACTGCTAATTAAAAACGACACAAGTCAACAACAATGTCATAAATGAGTGTCTTGGTGTATGACGACATTACATTTACCTTCTTCTTGTAAAGACAAAAGGAGTGGCACCCGGGAAACTTCGAACTCTTGCCAGTGTCTGCTCATTTCCATCTTTGGTTGGATCGTCTGAACTACCTGAGCCAGAAAAAGGCCAAAATCCTTTGGATTTGGAGCCGCTACCTCCCATCTTCAGCTGCAGCACATTATTTTCTCGGGTCCCGAGACTGCCAGTGGTGCTACAGTGTTACTGTACAAGATGAAATGTGCCTTCAGGGTGTGACACCTGTGAAAAGTGGCAAATAAAGGGTAGCTTTAGCTGCTTTCAGGCAAAACATAATGGCACGTATTGATTTATTTAGTCATTTTTACAAAATGCTACTTTAAGAAAGGACGAGACCTGACTTTTCTTTAAACAAGACAAGTCCGGACTGAGTTCAGTTATGATCATTTTCTGCTGTAGGCCAGAAGCATGACGGTGCTAGAATAACACAGCAGCCAAAAATCACGCACGCAGTCACGCTTCTGTGTCACGAATTACAAATGGTTAGATATGGAGTTTAAATCAAACACAACAACATGAATATCTGCTTCTATCTGTCTAGTAGAAGACTCGGTAACATTTTGAAGCCATAGCAGTTAGCTAGTAAGCCTTTCCCGACACCAAGATCAGTTTGTCACCAGTGCTGAGAAACTTATCCCGGCTGCACTAATCGTAGCTGCTTTTATGTCACTTTATGTACCGTCTGCTAACATCACCATTAGCTTTTATACTAGCATTAGCCAGGTCAACATGTTCCTAAACAAAATAACATTTACTGACGTCGCCATGGGCTAGCATGGACTGATTTAACAGTTCGTGCTGTTCCTCGTCGCTTTAGCTTACCGGAACACATACCTAAATTGCGCAGCAGTGTGCTCGTAGGTAAGAATTTTTCTTTGATGAATTTATGTTACTGGCTCGCTAATTCTGTACAAGCACAGACCTCATATCACACAAAGCTACGCTAAGTTGTTTATGCTATCTGACGGCCACGTTCTTCTTCTGTCCTTTCCCTCTGAAGCTTGGTGCAGAGACGCTGTGGTGAGCTAACGCCATCACGTGGACAGGAATATAATAGTACTAGTGACTTGTCCGTTTTGATCTCATATTGGGCCGAAACTAGTGAAACTGTCCCTTTTTTCAAGTGTATAGAATTTTAACTACACATTTAATTCCTCAGATAGCTTAATATTAAAAAAGAAGTGCTAATTCAACAGCACCTCTCTGTTTTTTCTACATAATAAAGAAATGCTGCTGTAGTAGATGGGAAAAAAAAGATCAGCACGATTCTTTGGGATTAAACTATAAGAAGTAAATGGGCCTTCTAGTCGGGCACACTGTTAGAAATAATCAAAAGTTTCATATTAAACAGCCATTTTTCACATTTTATTAGATCATCTGAACATCCACACATTTCAGCTTACCCAACTCATTTTCAGAGGCTGATTAAAGTGCCACAATTTAAAAAAAACATCATCGCAACATGAATAAAACTGAGTATAAGATGATAAACCAGATAAACTAAGATATGTCACTTTAAATAATCTAATCAAGCAGCATGATGTTTAAAGAAAGAAGTGTGATCAATTAGTCCACAACAATTTCATATGTTTTGAGTCAGTCCAGTTCATAGCTGTACTAGATCAAAATCACCCTGAACTGAACCTTTAAGTAATTCACATTAAATATTACAGCAAACTCCCTGCTTTATTACCAATCTCTAATCCATACAACATCATCACCTGAGCTATTTCATTCCCCTTTACCATGACATAAAATTTCTTATCGACACTTTTCATGGAAGAATGTCTTCTAATTATTCCAGTGTGAAGCTGAGTGTCTCGGTGTCAACCCGGTGTAGTCATCCGGGCCATGGCTTGCTTCATCATGTCTCTAGCAAGAGCGTAGCGCTTCACGATCTCTCTTACGTGTGCTTCTTCCTCCCGCTGGAGGATTCGCAGGAAATTGCACAACTCAGGAAAGCTAAATGCATGCCACTGTGAAAGAGAGCAATTCACCATCTAAGCACCATATATTGACAAGTTTATCTTTCTCAGAACAGAATGGAAACTTACATTTACATCCCCTGTCTCGTTCTCTTTCAGAACCAAGCTTAAGACTGTTTCACTGGGGCCAGCGCACAAGCGCAGGTATAGAGGACGCTCATCATCAGACAGTTTACGCATGTACACTAGAGGAAAGAGAAGCAGAATTTCACAATTCAACAATTGGTTCTGTTTTAGTTTGTAAGAACAACGCAATATTAGGAATCCTACCTTGACCTTGTCTCTCTGTGCGTTCAAACAAGGCAAACTTTGCCGGGTTGTCCACAACGGTGAACTTATTGAGCAGTGCTTCGATGACTTCTCGTACCCGTGTTTCAGAGCTTATATGTAGGTGCTTTGCAGCATCTTTGGGGAGGTAGAATGATGTCCGCCGCTTCATCCGTCTTCCCTGATAATCATCTTCCTGCATCAAGCTCAAACTCTGACGGGGAGGAGGGAGGGAAATGGGACGAACTAACTGAAAGTGGACCTTGATGAAACCAGTGTAGGACCCATCTTTATTCTGAAGGGTGGACAGATTTATAGCATATAAATGGGAATTAAAAGGTTTAATACATTATCAACAAATATTATGAATAGAAATATGTTCACACAGCTACATAACTATGCTGAGATGTGGTTGTAGTCAGACATTTATGACTAAAAAAACAAGAATTGGGTGCACAAGTTTAAATTTAATTTGGTTTTTCTTTAACCCACACAGGGTCACATATATACATACATACACCCCACAAATATTTGGTTAAATATCCCTTTGCATGTTGTGAAGGTTCTGACATAACTCTAGCTGGGTATTCGACTGCTCTTCTTGGCAGAACTGGTAGAGTTCATTTAAATTGATTAGTTTCCTGGCATGGTGCTTTTAATAGTAGATCACAAATTCTTAGTATGGTTGAGGTTGAGGCTTTGGGAAGGCCATTCCAGAAGCTTAATGTTAGCCTGCTTTTTCTTTGCTCCATTCCAAAACCAGTTTTGATGTTTGTTTGGGATCATTTTCCTGTTGAACTATCTGGTTGTATCCTAGCTGTTGATTTAGGGCAAAGTTGAAGAATTTGGAGATAGTGCTGCTTATTCATCATTCCATCCACTTTGTGCAATGTACCAGTACCACTGACAGCAAAACAGCCCAAGAGCACGATGCTACCACCACCTTGCTTGACAGCTGGAATGGTGTTCTTAGGTTTGAAAGCCTCAGCTTTACTCCTCCAAACATACCTCTTGTCATTGTGGCTAAATAGCTCAATCTTTTCTTGGCTGACGATCAAACTTGTCCACGTGAGCGGTTGCAAATTTTAGTTGAGCTTGAAGGTGTTGATTTTGGAACAGGGGCCTCTTTCATGGTTTGAACCCCTTCAAAAGTGGTGACACATCTGAACAAGTTATCCATTTGTACATCTGTTTAAACCTATGATCTTGGAAGCTCCAGTTGTTTGGAAATGGCTCTAATGACGCCAACTTGTGTAACTCTAGGATTGTCCTTCTTGGATCTTCACTGAGTTCCTTGGACTTTTCCATTGTTCTGATTATTGGTCAATCCAATGAGTGCTTTTAAAACAAATTATTTTTATGCGTTTTGCTTTTTATACCCATTGTAGCCAATCATGAAGTTTTTAGTTGTCGGTGTTTCTATATATTATAGTTTGTATGTATACTTTTAACCCTGTGTGGATCAGAGAAAATCTAAGGAGCTTGGAAAGAAAGCAACCGGCAACAAAGCAAGTCCAGACACTTTTCTTTCCAATCTCCTTAGACAACGACGACCTGGATGACTGAGAACCTTCACAGACATATAGCAACAAAGTGGTTTCTGTTTACATACAATCATAATGATTGTATGCAAACCTCTGACCACAACTCTATGTATTTATATGAAAATGCACATTTTTTGCTTAACTGAATCTCAATGAAACTGTTTTTTTCAGTTCCTCACATCCACCATGTAGAGATTGTTGCTGATCTGAGCATTGTATTCCTTCACCTTCTGTTGAATCTCACTAACACTTAACTCCTGTTTACCCAACTCGATCTGTTCATCCTGAAAAGAAAATGGAAAGAACAACAAATAAGCCACGATACAGTGAGCAGAAAGCTTGCCTTCACAACTAGGCTTTAAAAAGGGAAGGTGAAATAAAACAAATGCATGAAAAAAAAGTCAGCTCAATACAAGCTCTTTTTATGTAGCCAGAAAAAAAACAATAAAGAAATATTTACTTAAAACAGTTGACCAAAAAAAAAAATTAGGCTGATAAACTATGCCACAGCCTCACCAGTACATTACTGTGAAAGAAAGATGAACACACAGTGAAATGCAGGTTCATCTCCCAGCTGCTGGCTTCCTGAGTAAAGGATGAGTCGCTCTTCTAGCATCACCATTACCATTTGCTCCTCACTGACAGTAAAAACGCAATAATGACATCTGGAGGGGGAAACCTACTCCCAGTGGGATCTGCTTAAATTATCTTAAGTGACAATTTTCCCCCCATGTTATTGCTCATCTATACTTCAGAGGATTTTCCATCCATCCATTTGCTTCCGCTTATCCTTTTCAGGGTCGCGGGGGGCGCTGGAGCCTATCCCAGCTGTCATAGGGCGAGAGGCGGGGTACACCCTGGACAGGTC